CACATGGACATCACCAGCCGGTCAACACAGAAATCAGATTGACTATGTGCTCTGCAGCCAAAGATGGAGAAGCTCTATACAGTCAGTAAAAACTAGACTAGGAGCTGACTGTGGCTCAGATCATAAGCTTCTTGTTGCAAAATTTAGGCTTAAATTGAAGAAAGTCAGGAAAAGTTCTAGGCCACTCAGGTATGACCTAAATCATATCCCTGATTAATATACAGTAGAGGTGACAAATAGATTTAAGGAATTAGATCTAACAGACAGAGTACCTGAAGAACTATGGACGCAGGTTTGCAACATTGTACAAGAGGCAGCAACTAAAACCATCCCAAAGAAAAAGAAATTCAAGAAAGCAAAATGGCTGTCTGAGGAAGCTTTACAAATAGCTGAGCAAAGAAGGGAAGCGAAAGGCAAGGGAGAAAAGGAAAGATACACCCAATTGACTGCAGAATTCTAGAGAATAGCTAGAAGAGATAAGAATACCTTCTTAAATGAATAGTGCAAAGAAACAGAAGAAAACAATAGGGAGGACCAGAGGTCTCTTCAAGAAAATTGGAGATAGGAAGGGAACGTTTCATGCAAAGATGGGCATGATAAAGGAACAAAATGGCAGGGACCAACAGAGGCAGAAGAGATTAAGAAGAGGTGGCAAGATTACACAGAGGAACTATACAAGAAAGAGCTCAATGTCCCTGATAAGCACGATGGAGTGGTCACTGACCTCAAGCCAGACACCCTGGAATGTGAAGTCAAATGGACCTTAGGAAGTCTGAGCAACAACAAAGCTAGTGGAGGTGACAGTATTCCAGCTGAGCTATTCAAAATCTTAAAAGGCGATGCAGTAAAAGAGCTACACTCAATATGCCAGCAAATTTGGAAGACTCAACAGTGGCCACAGGATTGGAAAAGGTTAGTTTACATTCCGATCCCAAAGAAGGGCAATGCCAAAGAATGTTCAAACTACCGCACCATTGCACTCATTTCACATGCTAGCAAAGTTATGCTCAAAATCCTACAAGCTAGGCTCCAGCAGTATGTGGACCGAGAACCACCAGAAGGACAGACAGGATTTTGAAGAAGCAGAGAAAATAGAGATCAAATTGCCAACATACGCTGGATCATGGAGAAAGCTAGGGAGTTCCAGAAAAACATCTACTTCTGCTTCAATGACTATGCTAAAGCCTTTGATTGTGTGGATCACAACAAATTGTGGCAAGTTCTTAAAGAGATGGGAGTCCCAGACCATCTTATTTGTCTCTTGAGAAACCTATATGCAGGCCAAGAAGCAACAGTGAGAACTGGACATGGAACCACTGATTGGTTCAAAATTGAGAAAGGAGTTTGGCAAGGCTGTATATGTCACCCTGTCTATTTAACTTATATGCAGAGCACATCATGAGAAAGGTGGGGCTAGATGAATCACCAGTTGGAATTAAGATTGCTGGGAGAAATATCAACAACCTCAGATATGCAGATGATACCACTCTAATGGCAGAAAGCGAAGAGGAACTAAAGAGCCTCTTGATGCGGGTGAAGGAGCAAAGCGCAAAAGTTGGCTTGAAACTCAACATTAAGAAAACTAAGATCATGGCATCCAGTTCACTCACTTCCTGGCAAATAGATGGGGAAGAAATGGAGGTAGTGACAGATTTTATTTTCCTGGGCTCCAAGATCACCGCAGATGGGGACTGCAGCCAAGAAATTAAAAGACGCTTGCTCCTGGGGAGGAAAGCTATGGCAAATCTAGACAGCATACTAAAAAGCAGAGACATCACCCTGCCAACAAAAGTGTGTATAGTCAAGGCTATGGTTTTCCCAGTTGCAATGTATGGCTGTGAAAGCTGAACCATAAGGAAGGCTGAGTGCCGAAGGATTGAATTGTGGTGCTGCAGGAGACTCCTGCGAGTCCCTGCGATTAAACCGGTCAGTCCTAGAGATCAGCCCTGACTGCTCTTTAGTAGGCCAGATACTGAATATGAAACTCAAACACTTTGGCCACCTAATGAGAAGGAAGGACTCCCTGGAGAAGAGTCTAATGCTGGGAACAATAGATGGCAAAAGAAGGGGACGGCAGAGGATGAGGTGGCTAGATGGAGTCACTGAGGCAGTTGGTATGAGCTTAACTGGGGGATGGCGGAGGACAGGAAGGCCTGGAGGAATGTTGTCCATGGGGTCGCGATGGGTCAGACACTACTTCGCAACTAACAACAAAATCTTCACTCTCTTTTCCCTGCCCAGCCCTGCAGTTGCCATCACCAAGCACAACAGGACTGACACTTCAGGACTGGAGGATATTTGCTTCTCCTGAATTTCAGATCCAGCAAGGAGGCACAGACACCCCAAAGATCATTCTCGTGTTTTTTTTAAATCTATAATTTAAGAAAGTACTTAAATTATTGGGTTCTAAATTTCACAATCCCGAAGTTTACATCAAATATTTTATTCTCCCAGCATTTTAATCTTTTAACTTCATTTTGAATTATGCATTTATTTCTGTACTGCTCCTATGCTGTTTATTTTTTTAAGTATTTGACTATGCCTTGACTATTGAGCAGTATAGAAATGAAATATGCAGTATCAAATTTCTAACAACTGTATCATCATGTAACACTTTAAATACCAGAAAACATATGCTAGGACCAGTCAGAAGTCCTTATAAATATATTGCCCTCCTGTGAACCCTTTTTTGGGGGGGGGGCAGCTTTCTCATAGAGACATAGACCATCATGCCTATCTTTGTTTTGGTTGTTTTTTGAATTTTCAAACTTACCAGTTTCCCAGTTTCTTTCATTTACTAAAGGGTGAGATTCCCATTCTACATGCTCAGTACAACTTAGTACTGGGTCAACACGTATAACATTTTACAGTGATAAAAGCCCGAGTATGTTTCCCTAAAGACAGATCTCTTTGCTTCTGTGAAGACATGCCCAGGACTGGCCCTAAGACATTTTGCTACCAGAGACAGAACAGCAAATCTCACCTCCCTCCCCATTCCCAATCAAGATGCTTAGTAGTGTTCAAAGTCTGTCAAGTTGTTTGGCCCTGAAGCCAAGAATCCTACCAGCACTTTTCCCTTCTCTGGCAAAGAAAACCCAACAACAAATAAGGATTAACTTGCTTTTTCCATAATGCCCCAAATCAATTGTTGGAGAAAGTTGCTGCAGGCTCTAAAATGGGTCTATTTCTTTGACTGCCCGTCACCGCTCACGGGCTGATGGTCCAGGATCCTTTCCTTTGGAAAGCTCACAAGCAGGACACAAGGAACACAGTAGCCTCCCAGTGTTGCACCTAGCGACTGATAATCAGAGTCATGCTGCCCGAGATTCAGGAAAGATACTGAGACAGCATCATGATTAGCAGTCACTGCTAGCCTTACTCATTAGAAATATATACAACAAAACCATTTAGCGCTTTACATATCTATTTTAGCATAAGCTTTCATGGATTATAGCCATACTATCAGATGTCTGGAGTATTAATGGGGAGTTTCAGGTTTATTTGGTACAGGAGGTATGTCTCTGTGTGTATGAAGTATTGTCGACACTGAGGCCAAAAGGAAGGTAGCAAGCAGGGTCTAGTTCTGTGATGCGTTGTATGTACCTGTGTTCTCTTTATTTCCTCTTTCCCCACACTCAGAAGCCTGCAAGACTCCTGGCCAAAAGCAGGCTGAACCTCTGAAAAGAGCACTCCTGGTTAGATACACTAGAACTTCTTGGTGCAGCTCCTAATAGTTTTCACTATTTCATTAGTGCCAAATCTGTGCTCTAGCATCAAGTCTTAGGGTTGAATCTGACCAAATTAACCGAGATAAATGTATCAATGAGTAAAACTGCATGCAGATGCATGCAAGAAACTACAGACAGTCCTGAGGAAAAGTTTCAGAAGGAATGGGGAGCATAACCCATAACTCCTCCTCATGTCTTCCTTAAAGATAGTTGTCAATTTGTGTTTGTTTTTTCTGTGCAACGTGTTCTTGCCCAGAGGCAGGGTAAATTAATAATATTTATGTATACATTTCAACTATTTTTCCACAATCACTAAAAGTGGTATCCTCAAAGAGGAGGAAGATCATGTAAACTGCTTCCATGTTCTTACATGAGGAAAAGAAAAAGAAATAAACCAAACCAAATGTATTTCTCTGTAGTAGTTCATGATCAGTTAAAATACATACTAACTGAAGCTTTGTTTAAAAGTGGTCAAGTTGTGGAACTATTTTGCACTATGATTTATGACTTAGCTGCATGTAAGGTTTGCTAAATAAAGAAACACACTGTTCTAAATATTTATTTGGAGTAGAAAAAAGATAAATATTTAAAACTAACTAAAGAAGAAGGAACATTCAGACACATATTGTTTTATTTTAAACAAAGTTTTACAGAATGAGTTAAAAAAGCACTGATACATAGGCATGCCAGCAATCTCAAATACCCATCCCCATTTCCAAATAGTAATCAGAGTGGCTTTATTTAGCTAAAATCCATCTGTTTTCAAGTAACTCTCTACTAAAAAATGCAACCACATTCTGTAAGAAAACTTGTTTCTCATTCCTGATCAGCACCATTGCATCGGTTTTCATTTATTTTCTATATACAATAACGTTTAAGCACACATTTGCTTTCTTATCAGAGCCTCCTGTTATGCCTCCAAGGGTAGTATAAGGAATTGAGATTACAAAGTTTCTAGCAGCAATAAAGGTGCTTGAACTTACACACAAGAGTGATTGATCTGTACATGTTCTGTTGGAAAAGGCAACTGATCTCATGACACCAAACTTTATGTGGATTGATAGGAAGCAATTCCTGCTTTTCCCACTCACCCCAGAGTATTCTTCAGCTACCACTAGCTTTTAGTGATAACTCACCTAAGATTCTTCGCTCACAATAGTGAGCTCATTTTCAGGTGGTCATGTGGCTTTGGAAATAAACTTGTTTACAGCTAAGAAAGAAAGGATCTAAAGTAATCACATTTTCATTTTATTTCAGTTGAAAACCCCCATCTGGCTATGCTTGAGCAAAAGAAAGTGTAAAGATTAATGCCTTAATTTTTCATATGGTCCCAAATACAAAACTTTTCATTTAATTGACAGCCAATATAAACATAACAAAAAAATTATTACCACCATTTTCAAGCTATTTATTTCAAGAAGCAACATGAACTTGGAGCCAAAAGTGATCTTGCACAAAAGGAAGGCAGCTCTACTTGCACGTGATTTTACCTTCCTTTCCACCACTTCCTCTTCCTGTAGAGTTTTGTGCCACATCACATGCCCTACTGTAATACTCTCAAGAGCAGCAGGGTGGTGGAGGTGAACGAAAACCCTTGTGTACATGGGGAATTGGACAAGCACATCTTTGGATTGAAGTCACAGTAACTGGGTTCACACACAATAACCCACTCATGGGTTGAGTATGAGTTGTGTGTGGATTGTTGAAAAATAGGTTGCCTGAATGCCACTGCAGGAAGAAAACATGCTTTGCTAACCAAAAACAACCCACTGTTCACAACCCAACAAGAAACCATGGTTTCTATTCATGGGTCAACAAGCTGTAGATTATTAACGTGACTGAGTTCAAACAAATGGACAACCTATGTTTCAACAACAACCCCAAGTTCAATAACAACCCACACTCAACCCTTGAGTGTGGGTTATTGTGTTGTTTTAACTTAGGCATTTATAAGGCAATTGCTAAGCTATAGGTTGCATGATTTGTGATTGCTACTGTCATCTGCAACATTCCTTTCCCACCCAATTCATATGTACCTCCTTGGCCCATCACCTGTAAAATACTGTTTTACTAAAAGGATTCTCATTAGTAAACAAAAATAATCTAATGTAAACATATAACTATGCAATCATCACATTAAGCCCCTTTCACTTATGCTTCATACAGCAAATTGCAATTATTTCACATTTGCAGTGCTCTGTAAGAATGGCTATTATGCTTCCACTGCTCTTTTTTTTTCAAAACTTAACTCACAATTTGGTTACTTCCAATTAATACCAGTAATATTGGATTCTGACTACTTTATTTCCTTCCTTCCTGGACTCCAACAAATACCCCAAAGGAGAGCTACATGGGACTTGGATGCATGAAAATATTTTATGATGGATGCTCATATTGATAATATAACTATATTATGTCCAATGTATGGTAGGGGAAATATACTTGTCCAAAACCACTGTGTGTTCTTGCCTTGTAAAATTAATGCCAATAGATTTTAATTAAGAACTTGTGGTACAAATTAGTTTATCACAAGCTCTGGTTGCATTCTGTTGCAAATTCCAACTACGTGTATGTTCACTTTCAACTTATATCAAATTTCTCACCCTGACATAATTTCCAAAACCCTGCTGCTGTTAAGTACATGTTAAGCCAGTAAGTGAGAGTACTAGTTACTGTTCAAGCCAAACATAGCATACCACATTCTAAAATAATGGAACAGAACAAAAGATAAAACCTACAAGTAATCCATTGCTTCTCTTGGAGCCATCATTCAGTTTTCTCTTGGTTTACATTGGTCCCCTCAATCCCACTTGCCACAGAATTTAAGACATGACAAAATAGTCGGTGCCTGAATGTAGATACAAAACTGCCAAGGATATTAGTTTTCCTTTTGCTTCTTCATATGACGAGCCCTTAATTTTAAGGCTGTTTCTGTAATGAACTTTGTACTATACCATTGAGGCACAAACTTGCTTCCCCAAGCCTGAGAAATGGGGAGGGGGAGAGGGAGAGGGAGAGAGACAGAGACAGAGTCATTATCAAGTTACTGAAGACCAACATTTCAGTGGGCTAATAAGGTAAAACATAGTTATGATAAATTCTCTGAGATTCTAAAAAGTCCCAAATACCTTTGCTCAGATAGCATATATAATAAGAACAATCAACTCTGAATAACACATACCAATAATTCATGAGCTGGGTATCCAGAAGTGTGGGACTCCAGGCCAACTGTGTTGAGGGCATATTTGACATACCATTCAGGAGTAGGTCTAAAAGTGCTTGATTTATGGATCTTAGACAACTTTGTGACCACAAAATATGGCACAACAGTCTGAAAAGAAAAAAAAGTTCCTGTTTTTATGCTAGCTTCATGTATAACTATCCAATATATCAAGAAGGAAAGAAATGTGAAATACTAAATGATCAAACCTAAAAACAGATTTCACTACAGATAACTTACTTCTGAAATTCAAAAATAAATCTTGTATTAGAATTTAGGTATGTTCACACTTTTTTTCAGGCAAACCTGAAAGTGGGTTACTTAAAGTAATTACAACATCAATAAATTGTGTCTTCTAATTCGTCTCACTGAAGAATTCTTTAAACATGACTGTCAGCACTCATGTAATCTCCTAATCCATCCCCAATAGCCATCACCCATGGCCAAAATGGCTAGGTATAACTTGACATCCTATGAAAGATGCTAGGGAACAGGCTCCTGGCTCCTTTGCCATCCTTTCTCCAATAGGTCAAGACAGCAGGGACGTGGAGTGCTAGGGTGGGGTGGATGGGTGCATATGCACATGTAAAACAAAAGGGGAACAGTCTTCACCTCAGTCTACATACTTTGGATTCTGCTGCAGTTTCTTAAATCTGTGGTAGACATGATGAAAAATCCCCGACCTCACTGAAATATGATTATTTGGATAGTCACTACAGCTTCCCTAAAAATTCACTTTAAAGGCTGTAGAATTGGGTATTTAGCTTCATAGGATACAGTGGGCCTTTTCAGCACCTAAGTTTATTTTATTTAGTTGAGCTGCACACAGAACTCACTCATTATCTGTGAGTTTCATGCATCCCTTGGCTGCTCCACGTAAAGCCTGTGGTCATGGCACCCTGCCCTCTTTTTCTCACTGCCCAGGAAAATCCCCCCCCCCCCCCGGAAAAGCTTTTCTTACCAATCAATTACTGGTTGGAGATAAGAACTATTCCCTGCAGGGACAAGTTACATGGAGAAGAAGCTGTAAGTCCTAGGTATTTCTGAGACTTGTTCTGCTTACTTCCAAGTAGACATGCTGTTTGTGTTTACTACTAAGTAGGTATGCAGAGACTTGGTATTTGGGATGCTGCTGTTGAATGATTCAGTCCTGTTTGCTTCAGAATAGTAAACTGCTCCTCACTCCAACTTTGTTGTTGTTAATTGCAAAGTCATGTCCAACCTATCGCAACCCAATGGACAACATTCCTCCAGGCCTTCCTGTCCTCCACCATCCCCCGGAGTCCACTTAAGCTCACTCCGACTGCTTCAGTGCCTCCATCTAGCCAATTCATCCTTTGCCACCCCCTTCTTCTTTTGCCGTCAATTGTTCCCAGCATTAGACTCTTCTCCAGGGAGTCCTTCCGTCTCATTAGGTGGCCAAAGTGTTTGAGTTTCATCTTCAGTATCTAGCCTTCTAAAGAGCAGTCAGGGTTGCTCTCCTCTAGGACTGACTGGTTTGATCCTAGCTTGTAGGATTTTGAGCATAACTTTGCTAGCATGTGAAATGAGTGCAATGATGTGGTAGTTTGAACATTCTTTGGCATTGCTCTTCTTTAGGATCAGAATGTAAACTAACCTTTTCCAATCCTGTGGCCACTGTTGAGTCTTCCAAATTTGCTGGCATATTGAGTGTAGCACTTTTACTGCGTCGCCTTTTAAGATTTTGAATAGCTCAGCTGGAATACTGTCACCTCCACTAGCTTTGTTGTTGCTCAGACTTCCTAAGGTCCATTTGACTTCACATTCCAGGATGTCTGGCTTGAGGTCAGTGACCACCCCATCGTGCTTATCAGGGACATTGAGCTCTTTCTTGTATAGTTCCTCTGTGTAATCTTGCCACCTCTTCTTAATCTCTTCTGCCTCTGTTAGGTCCCTGCCATTAT